ACTAGCAAAGTAGTTGTTACTAGAGACACAGGAATTAGAACATGTCTATCACTGGGTCAGGAAGATCCTCTGGAGAAGGGAATGGCAACCCACTCCAATATTCTTGCCTGGAGAATTCCATGGATAAATGAGCCTGGCAGGCTACAGTCCATGGGGTCACAAAGAGTCAGACACAACCAAGCAACTACCACACAAACAAGTTATATATACATACTGTGATTTTTGTCTGCATTCTTCTTTAAATATACATATAACTTATACAATATTTGCACTGATACGCAAACACATACCAAGTTACTAATTCTCAGGGATTAATTTATGCCAGCCTGGCACTTTGAGAATAAAGCACTCAGTTTTATTCTTTGTCTTAAAAATCCCTTACTGAGCACCCAGCATATAAAGACCATGACACAAAAACCAAATCAAAAGTCCAATGTTGTGTCAATAATATAGAGCCTCAAAAGGTCTGGCTGCAAAAATTGTATGTATACATCTGTATGTGTATATGTGTTCATTTATCAGAACACTTCCATAGTTACAAGTAAGACATAAGGAAGACTTGTACTTTCATTGCTACCAGTATTCTCCTTAAGGAATAGCTACTGGATGAAATACAAGAGGAACCTAGAAATGGGTTGTACAGAGCTCCTGGTCTCCGGCTGCCCATTTCCTGGGTGGAAGCAGGAAAAAAAACAAAAACAAAAAAAACAAATACAAAACAAAACAACAGCAACCCTTTCCCCCTCCCCCCAAAAAATCAAAACCAGGCAAACAAACAAACAAACAAAAAAAACCCAGTGGACACAGACAGAGGAAGCAAGATTTGCAAGAAGTAATTTGCCAGGTCCCCACATTTTGTGGTTAGGGACTGCTTGTGGATTTTTGAAATGGATCAAGGCAAGGGGAGCTTGAGAATTTCTGCCTTTTTTTTTTTTTCCTGCAAAGTAAAGGTAAATTTACAAGTTCTTTGCTCCTGCGCCCTGGAGCTAAAGTCTTTTTCTGGGAAATGTCGGAAGGAGCCTAGGGAAGTTGGAAACGCACAGACCCTCGGGCTGGCTGGCTTCCAGCCAAACCAGAGTTGCAGCGCCGCCGCAAGTTCTACCGAGGGTGTGGAGGTGGGGCGGGCTTCTCTAACCCGCGTTCGGTCTAGTTAGCGCTGCGCCGAGACCCCGGAGGAAGGCGCCTGGCGTTTCGCAGCCGCACAGGCGAGGTCTCTCGGAAGGGCGTTCCTTTGGTCTCTCCGCAGCTCACGTCTGCCGTATGAGGCAGGCTTCGTGTCTAATCACGGGTGTCGCTGTGGTTCCAGCATCATCTTCCACCTCCCCAGCTTCTGCTGAAAGGTCACCTGCGTGGAGTTGATGAGGGGAGCACGCTGATTCACAGTTTTAGTGCCCGGGGGCCAAACAGGTCTATTCCACCTAACTAACCTTTGCTGCACTCTTTGTACCCCCAACGCGATTCCCTCCTGGGCGCTCCAGCTGTGTAGGCTGAATTTCCCTCAAAATTGAAGGGACGTTGCCCAGAGCGCCTGGGGACTGCGGGGCCGCCAGGGGACCTTCCTCTGCAGGGGCGACCCACGTAGAAGCGATTCTTAAAGATCCTGGCCTCTGGCATGGTTCACAAACATGCGCCCAGGTGCAAATATTTACATATGCTTGCAAGCGCCAAAAAAGGGGGTGAAACGAGGGAGCCCTGTTATGAAACGTAGTCCTGCACTAAACTCTGCCAAAATACCATCTATGTGATAGCTGGGTGTGTTCTCGCAATTCTTAACCAAACAGGGAAAAAAACAAACTCCGCCCAGCGGTGGCAGATTGCATTCAGGGTCCGGGACTCGCGAAGCAGCGAAAGCTTCTGGAGAGAGCCACAGGTCCCCAACTTCGCCAAAGCCAAGCCCGAGGAAGAGCAATTAAGTTACAAAAAGAAAGGCTGCTTGAAAGCCTCTAACATTCTTCTTTGACTTCTTTCTCTTCCTTGAATCCCTTCAAGCAGTTCTCTCTAGCCTTAGCCCGCTCCCCTAATACGTATCCGTCCTCCCTCCCCCAATTCCCCGCCCCATAACACACACACACACGCGCGCGCACACACACACACACACACACACGCGCGCGCGCGCACACACACACACACACACTTTTGCTCCATCCTGACCAACGCCCCCACCTAGTGGTTTAGGCTTGCCTGCTTCTCTTTCCTTTGCTGAGGTTTCTGAGAAAGCAGTGCAGTTTCCAAAATAATTAACTCCCTAGGGGCCGGACATGGTTGGATTGGATGAAAGGATGGGCAAGACCCCTTGCAATGAGGTGCAAATGAAGCTTAAATTTACCCGAGCGGTGCTGGGCGCTAGGGGACAGAAAAGAGAAAAGAGAAGGCTGTGCCTTTATGCCCAGCTTGGCTGCTGCAGCCTAGACTGCAGCCAGAAGATGACTTTGGAGAGTTTCCACTCAAGAAGTACCCTCGCTCTCAATACATGCACGTGTTCCATTTTCTTCATAACATCGCTACATGAAAGTATGTTAATTGCATATTGTTTTGTTATTACTGCCTGTCAGCCTCTTCTAGAATGTAAACTGCTTGAAAACTGGGTCTGGGTCTGCCCCACTGGCCTTTATACTCCAGATGTCGAGAAGAATTCCCAGTACAGAGCAGGCACTCGACCCCCCTCCCCCCACTCCGCCTCTGGTTATTTTATTAGAGATGCGTGAATCAACTGAACTTAGATTAGGGTTGTGTCACCTTGGGCGGGGGGAGGGGGCAGTTCTTTCAAAGGATCTCAGCGACTCTTCTAAACCGAATAGAAGGGCCAGAAAATGTCCGGCTCCAGATTGAAGAATTCTCTTTAAAATACGCTAACGTTTATCCCGAGAAGTTCAATTATAAGATCGCTTATTATTGAATGCACTCTAACTGGCAAACACGGAGCTAGGCGCTTGGAACTCAGTAATGATCACTCAGCTCGCACGGCTGAAAATACAGCGGCGCTTTCCTGGTGTTTTTCTCTGAATGTTCTCGGACTTGTCCTTCTATCTACCTGGGCTTCTGTGAGGGCTGGAGGAGGGACGGCGTGCAAAGCACCTGCTCCGGGTCATGGGATCTAGGCACTAGTACCTTGGCGCCACACGTGGCTGATACTCCGATGTCTTTGTTGAAACCCAAGGAGACGCAAGGATAGCGCTGGTGGTCTTGGTCCCAGAGCCCCCCCCCCCTTTTTTCTCTCTCTCGAATTCTGAGGACCTCCTTTCGAGGCACTTCAAACTGTTTTCCAGAGGCACCCAACAGCCTCGCGGCTGGAGAGGGAAGGTGGAGCGGTCGGTTTAATTTCAGAGTGTGCTTCTGTTTGTGATACTTTTACATTTTTGCAGGTTTTTTTTTTTTTTTCCTTCCTTCCCTCCTCTCTGCTTTCCTGTTGACTCACAGTTAAAGGGGTGGGGTTACCCTGAAAGCACAGATTCCTACAATCAGATATGAAAAATTAGTTTGCATTTGTACCCAGGGTTTCTGACTTGAATCCGAAGTATAAAATGCAGGATGGGCCATTTCCTTCTAAGGCGATATTACTGGCGCCTCCTTCTAACTTGGGTGTGGCCCGCGAGGATGGATAAAATTCTCGAGTGGAGAGGTCAGAGCCTGGGGCTGGCTCTACCTAGCACTAGGCCGGGCCTGGGGGGGGGGGAGCGGCGAGGGGGGGTCGGGGAGGTTTCTGCGGTAGGTGGGAGTCTCCTAAGGGATCTGATAAAAAGCCTAGTAAAGCGGTGCGCGTGCCCGCGGCTGAGGGTGCGGGTCTAACCCGAGGGGCCGGCAGCAAGTTGGGAATAAGAGAGAGGCAAGCGCAGGACACCCTCACCCCCTTTCCAGCCTGAACTCCGGTGCCAGGGGCTGGTTCCGATCGGGAGAGGGGCCAGGGGGTGGAAACTGGAGGAGAAGGCGGTAGGACCCGGCGGGAGCTTCCTTGGAGGGGAGGGAACCGGGCGGGAGGATAGGAGGGAGGGAGAGAGAAAAAGGGAAGGTGATGGGGCGCGGGCGTCGGCACTCGCCGAGCTGCCCGAGTTGCGCGGCTCTGGCGGACCGGACCTGGACTCTATAAAAAGGAGCCCATCCGCTCTGCCACTCACACGCTCCTCCTGGAGTGGCGTCCGCGCGTCCCTCCAGCTCCCCCCAGACACCTGCCCCTTCCCCGTGAGCCCTGGGCGCCAGGTTCCCCAGACCCGTGCGCCCAGCTGCCAGGCTCCACGCGGTGCCCGGGGGATCGAGGTGGCGCGCCGGCCGCGCGGTGCCACGAGCCGCAGCCCGAGCCCCCGAGTTTCTCCTCTGGCGACCCCCCGTCTCCGCGGGGCAGCTCGCCGGAGTGGCCTGCGAGTGAGAAAAGAAGGGAGGGCAGAGCTCCGGCGCGAGGCGCGGCGCCGCGAGGTGCCCAGATTTCACCCCACTCAGCTCGGGCGGCTGCGGCCGCCGCAAGAAACTGCCCCAGCCTGGGGAGGAGGGCGGGAATGCAAGACCCGGACTCCTCGCTGGCCTGCAAGCTCTGGTCGCGACAGCTAGCAAACTCCCGCGGGTCGAGTCTGCAGAACCTGGAGCGCCCGGGTTAAGAGACTTTCAGCCCCGAGCAGTTGGGGTAAGAGATCCCACCTTGCCAATGCTCCCTCCCCAAACCAAACCACGCTTTCCACCTCTAGACGCCCGGGTGGGAGCCGGAGGGGAGTGTGGCTCTTTGGACCAGTCCTTGGCTGCCCGGGGTTGAGACGGGGCTTAGCAGGGAACGGCCGGAGACTGGGCGGCTGCGCCGCGCTCACTGGAGGTGCGGGGGACTGGCCAGCCAGCCTCGCCCTTGACGTCTCGCTTGATCTGGGAACCTGGGTGGAGGCGTAATTGAAGAACCCTCCACGGAACCGACTAGCTCCCGGGGTGGACGAGACTGCGGTCTCCTCCGCGGTCCTCTTGTCCTCATCCTCGTGCGCCCCATGCCCCAGAGCTGCGCTCCGGGGACCCGGGCGAGGAGAGACATGGAGGCAGTGGCCGCTCAGTGTCCCCAGCCGCCGTCCGCGAGTTCCCAGACTGGGCTTTCTCAAGCCAACCTCTCGGCTGGTCCCTCCCACAACTGCAGCGCCGCCGAGGAGTACATTTACCAGGACTTCATCGCCCTGCCCTGGAAAGTAGTCGTGGTCCTGCTGCTGGCGCTCTTCACCTTGGCCACCACGCTCTCCAACGCCTTTGTGATAGTCACTGTGTACCGGACGCGGAAGCTGCATACCCCGGCCAACTACCTGATCGCCTCCTTGGCGGTCACCGACCTGCTCGTGTCCATCCTGGTGATGCCCATCAGCACCATGTACACGGTCACGGGCCGCTGGACGCTGGGCCAGGTGGTCTGCGACTTCTGGCTGTCGTCGGACATCACCTGTTGCACAGCCTCCATCCTGCACCTCTGCGTCATCGCCCTGGACCGCTACTGGGCCATCACGGACGCCGTGGAGTACTCGGCGAAAAGGACTCCCAAGAGGGCCGCGGTCATGATCGCGCTCGTGTGGGTCTTCTCCATCTGCATCTCGCTGCCGCCCTTCTTCTGGCGGCAGGCCAAAGCCGAAGCGATGTCGAACTGCGTGGTGAACACCGACCACGTCCTGTACACCGTCTACTCCACGGTGGGCGCTTTCTACTTCCCCACCCTGCTCCTCATCGCCCTCTATGGCCGCATCTACGTGGAAGCCCGCTCCCGGATTTTGAAACAGACGCCCAACAGAACCGGCAAGCGTCTGACCCGAGCCCAGCTGATTACTGACTCCCCCGGCTCCACGTCTTCGGTCACCTCGATTAACTCGCGGGCTCCGGAGGTACCCAGCGAATCCGGGTCTCCCGTGTACGTGAACCAAGTCAAAGTGCGCGTCTCCGACGCCCTGCTGGAGAAGAAGAAACTCATGGCCGCTAGGGAGCGCAAAGCCACCAAGACCCTGGGGATCATTTTGGGCGCGTTCATCGTGTGTTGGCTGCCCTTCTTCATCATCTCCCTGGTCATCCCGATCTGCACATCCTGCTGGTTCCACCAGGCCATCTTTGACTTCTTCACGTGGCTGGGCTATCTTAACTCCCTCATCAACCCCATCATCTACACCATGTCCAACGAGGACTTCAAACAAGCTTTCCATAAACTGATAGGCTTCAAGTGCACGAACTGACTTGTTAATTACAGTGGGGTCGCCTAAGCGCCCTTCAGGGGACCATGCTGTGTCTGGTTCCACAAGGTAGGCTGACTCTTCTTTCACTGTTACTGGGTCGGAATGAGGCTGTCTCTTTTGAGCAAGGGCTGTGGATCCTGAGAAAACCAGAGCCCTAAGAGAGATCTAAAGGAGACTTGTTCAAACTAAGGATAGAGCTTCCTGGCTGAGGAGAAGGCTCACTTCCTCCCTGCAAATCCGTTTCAGCACTGACCCTTCCAGCAACCCATGGCAAGGGGGCTGCAACTTTTAGAAAACCAACGATGGAGAAGGGAGCCCTGCGCTGCTTTGGTATCATGGATGAGGCCCTCTAAAACTACAGGAACTTGTAGTTCTTGTCTGGAGTCTGTCTGAGACAGAGCTACACACAACCTGACAGTACTTGAACTAGACATTAACACCCTGTCTTTCGGGCAGAACTCTGTGTTACAGCTTCCTTTAAGAACAGTTACTTTGGCATCCTTCAATCTTCATTCAGTTTTTGTTTATTTAAAACTTGGTTGGAGAAACTTGCGGATTTGGTGTGGCTTGGATAGCACAGAGAAACCTTGAAGAGTTAAGAGCAAAATTCTGATGTTAAGATCTCTATTTTTATTATAATTGAAACTATATGGGATGGGTGGGTAAAAATGGGAGATGGGGAGTATTAAACGGAAAACCAACACCTATGGATTGTTTGTTTTCTGCAGATTTATAATTTTTTAATTCATATGTAGTGATTGTCAAACCACACTCCTAACAACTCAGACAAAATGTTATGTGTGCTAGTGCCAAAGTCTGCAGATTGCTTTTTTTCCCTCCTAATTTCATGTACCTGCCATTTTACACATTTAAATCCCCAGAAATGGGGGATATGATGGGTGACTCAGCCCAAGCTGCTGCTATATTTCTTATTAATGCCACTGATAGAAACTGATGAGTATGATATATATATATATATATGAGATATATATATATATATGACATATATATATATATCATTTGCAAGGTAAGTATTTTTAATCCCAATCGAGTGAGCCATGGAATTGAGTGAGATGAGATAGGAATAGTTCTTATACAATTAAGGAATGGGTGGCAACAGGAGGATGTATATTCTGACTTGTAAAAAAATCTTAAATGCATGAGACTTTTTTCTGCTAGTCATTTGCACTCTCCTTCCCATCTGTAATTCCTTTGTGTGCTAACATGAAAAGTAACCAAGAGAACTAGCTCCTTTCTCCAAAAGTCTTCAAAATAGTAAAACTCCTAAAACCTACATTAAAGATAAAAACCTGTTTCTTTTCCCTTGCTATTGAAGTCTGAGTAGGAACAAAATTATTAGAAAGACAAGTAAGGGTTTTCAAAAAGCTTAGAGAAGCTAAAATTGAACTTGGTTCCTTGTGACTCATGGAACCAACCCTCAGACTTCCTGGGCAACCAGAAACTAACAAGCTTTTGAATCTTGGAAATTTGTCATCGACCTGATATTTCTATGAATATAATATCAATAGTACTTTAAATTTATCTCTGTTTCAAATTTCAAAAATACTTAGTTGTTATCTTAAATTCACTCAGAGGACTCCCTAGTACAGGGCAAGATTATGCACTAAAAGATGAAAAATGCATGCTCTAAATAAAATGGAGTAGCCCCAAAGGATTACCTGCACGGAAAACGAATGTGTCTGTGGAACATTTATTATGCCAAAGAAGATACACACTTTGTTCTTTAGAGAGCTTTCCGCAGGTGATATCTTTTGTCTGCAGAAGCAAGTTGTTTTTGTAAAATGGATTCATTCCCTGCTTGAAGCTTCCCAGTCCAGACTGTCAGACAATAGATGTATTGAGCTGAAGTACACTGCTTCCCTGCTGTGCACACCTTTACTCTGGCAAAAAGACTCTTGAAAACACCCTATTTAAAGGTTTACATGTAAATTAAGTACAAAAGAAAATTTTGATCAACATTGACACCTGTCACTGGAGTAAGAGAAAATTTTAGGCATTAGATAATCCTATATTTTTGCTGTATCCCCAATGTCTGTTTGTTTTGTGTGACATTTCTCCTATGGAGAGATCAAGCTTACTACCGAGAGGACTGTGCATAGAGCACATAATTTATTTTTATGTTACTGTTTGTCTTTTGGTTAGGTATTTTCTTGGGCCTAAGAAGCAATTAAGCCAACTTCTAGGAGCCTGAGAAAGCAAAATTAATTGAAACCCATAGCCAATTACAAATGATTTCTTTATAGGCCATCTGCAATGATTTTGTCCTTGTATTAACAAAATGTGGTCAATTTAGTCAAACGGTTGTTTGCCATTTTTAGATGACCTACCTAAATTTTTGCTTGACTCCTTTGCTGAATCAACTGGATTGGGGGCATACTGTATGAAATAGAAGCTTGCAAACCCTTGTAGTTATAAGAAATCTAGACACCTCATCCAGCATTGCACATGGTTATGCAAAGTGTATTATTCATCCCAGGGGTATGTAGTTAAGACTATTAAGCTTCTTTTCAGTTACTGCTGCCTATAGCATAGATTGTTTCATAAACTAGACATATGACTTTTTGCAGAACATTATATGGGAGATGGAAATATTTAACTTACATAGAAATGAAAATATATTTTCATTGGCTGTGGTAACAAATAACATTTTCCATATTGTTGAATTGCACAAATTTTCACAAAAATATATGAATGTATACTCATCCCCAAATGCCAATATTGTCTTGTGTTTCTAGGAATTTTAGAGTTTCCTTTTTAAAAATGGACACTGTACCTATGAATGAATGGTTATTGACTTCAACAAATTTCCTACAGAACAATATTCTTCACTCTTCCTGTCTATTATCTTAGTTTTATCTTCTTGATCCAGGAAACACTGAGAGGAGTATAATTTACTCAAGCAGCAAAATCTCAGATTATGTGCATTTGATGGAGTTACTGTGACTGCAAATTGCCTTTTCCACCTTTCAAAAACGTGTTAATTGAAAGTGAAATTTAGGAAAATAATGAAATAAAAGTCCTTTTGTGTTCTACAATGCTTTGGGGAGTAATTCTATGATTATGGGAAGATTGCTTCATTGGATTCTGGGTTGCATTTAGGAACTTGAGCCTTCAAGAGAGACTAGTTGATGATGAATGATACTGCAGTGGACTGGCAAGTATGGCCACAATGTGTGGGATTTAGTTTATACCCGTAGGAAGAATTTAAAAGGAATTAGACACAGTCTGCAAAGTGTTTAAGTCAATTCCATGATCCCAGGTGTTTTCCAGATCAGCATTCTTAGAAGGAATGTTTAGTCTTCAGGATGGAGAACGAGATACCAAGGCAGTACATGGTACTTCAAATATAGAAAACAGAAAGGGAGATGCTGAGTTAGAAGCAGGCTTGGGGGGTGGGGTGGGGGAGAGACCTAAGAGGAGGAGACCAAGCATCAGAATACAGACAGAAAATAAAACTTTTGGAATCAGAAAGTTCTAGGTTTGAATTGCAAATAGAGCATGTTATTGCTGTGTGGTTCTCCTCAAATGCAGCCTACCTGCGATTTGTTGCAAAGGCTTAGAGCCTATACACATAGAGCATTTATCAAGATCCCTGACACTTTTTATCGCTCAGCAGATGGTGCTTCCTCTCTAGCAGTTATTTTGTCATTGCCCTTTTTGTGGATGTAGGACACCTGCAGCAGAGAAAAACTTGAAAGCTTTTTGAGAGAGGCTGGACTGAAGAAAATCAAGCTAGCCCAAATAGAAGAAACGTGGCTAAACTAGAAGCAACTGAGGCTTGGAACTTTTCATGCTTATCCTCTGGGCTGGCAACGCACAGCCAAGAGGCCAAAAGCGAGCAGGAGAGATGGTTTGCGGTGGCTTTCCTGGCCAAGAGGAAATTGCCAAGTATTTCATTTCCTGTAGCATCCTCTCGTTGATTTTTAAACCCTCTTTCCTTTTTCTTGTCTAGAGATTTCCAATTGTTTCCTAGTGTCCAAAGGCCCTCACCACATTCATATCTTCTCTCAGCGCCTCGTTTTCCACTTCTCTGCTTTTTTCTTACCTGTGCAAAGCCGTGACAACCAATGATAAAGTGTTGATCTCATACGGCTCTAATTTTAGCTGTGATGGACTGATTAGACATCCCTGAGTTTTTATATTATAACCAAAGAAAATTTTTGGCCTAAATGAATGAAAAAAAAAAGCTTTCAACGTGGGGCATCTACTTGGGTTTTCAGATGAGAAGAGGCTGATAGGAGAAGGATGTGAGAAATTATGGCTCCAAATCTTCTCTCTCAAAAAAAAAAAAACAAAAAACAAAAAACCCCACAAAAAACAAAATCTGTGCTTGAACCGTCCACCAGGGGGCAGAGCGCCTCCGAGTTGTGCGGAGGCCGCAGGTGCTCAGCTCTTAACTGGACTCCGTCTTCCAGGACACTGCAAACGGTATCAGCTTCTGTAGGCTCCGTGAACATGGAGATCCATGAACCATGGGAGGTGGGGTTTATCATTTATTTTAAAAGAGAAGCTTTTTCAGAGCTGCAAATTCAGGCAGAGCATCCCTATAATAAAACAAAAGGTGTTCTTCATATTTACAAACTTATTTTCTTATTCTCCACTTGTCCTAAAATCATACTACAACTTTAGTGTTTCAAAACATTGTGACCTTTGATTATTGTGCCATCAAGTGAAGTCAGAGATTAGAATACAAAGAATTTACATGCAAAATAGAGAGAGCTACTTATTTATAACTTATCTTTTGCCATGATTTTTCACATCATGCTGCCGCTGCTGCTAAGGCGCGTCAGTCGTGTCCGACTCTGTGTGACCCCATAGACGGCAGTCCACCAGGCTCCGCTGTCCCTGGGATTCTTCAGGCAAGAATACTGGAGTGGGTTGCCATTTCCTTCTCCAATTTTCACATCAAAGTTTTCTTTTTTCCTTTCAAAATGTCATTGGCTTGAAGTTAATAGATCCATAGTTCAAAGGTAGAACAC